GCACCGCCAGCACGGCCACAGCTCCGGCCAGCAGCGGCACTGTGGTGGCTGCGGGGAGAACACGGGGGTCGTGACTCGCAGGCCTGGGGAACCCCTTGTTCCCACCCCAGTGCAGAGGGCTGTCACCTGGGGCAGCGGCAGGCCTGTGGGAGCCATGGCAGGTGGCCCCACGGGAGGGAGGCCGGGCTGGAGCAGTCAACTGGCGGAAGCGCTCTAGCAGGCAAGGGGCCGGGCACTCGGGGACGCTGAGGGACAGGGGCGGGTGGTTGGTGTCATTGCGGTAGAAGAGGGAGATGGTGATGTTCCTGGAGGAGGAGAGGAGACCGTGCCACCCCCTGCTCTGAGTCAGCCGAGGTGCCCAGCCCAAGAGGGTGCTCTGCCCGTCGCACGCAGATGCCCTGTCCTCACCCTCCGTCTTCATCTTCCTCTGGGTCCCCAGCGTGGCTCCGGAACTCAAAGCCCAGGCAGGCAGCGTATGGTGGGGTGTGCCCGTCATAGAGGCCCAGGGCCCCGTACAGGGCCAGAAGGGTGCTGTCGTGCTAGGGGTGGACATGGCCCTGAGACAGGGTTCCTCTTCCGATGTCCCCCAGACCCTGAGAGCCAGAGCTCCTCCCCGCTTGCCCTGCAGGCCAGGCCACCAGTTACCCAGAGCCACTCAACAGCCTGTGCTTACAGAGGAGCTGAGTGCTTTCCTCTTGCCACCAACTCTCGGCACCCAAAATGCCATCATGCCACCCCCGTGCCTCCTCCCCGAGAACTCACAGCAGAGTACATGACCATCTTGAGAGGCAGCCCCAGGCTCTGGACCCGGGAGAAGTTGGCCAGGATGGCGTCCAGCAGAATCCCTGAGGACGGGAGCAGAGGCTCAGGCCCCTGGAAGAAAGTGACCACCCCCCCACCAGGACTGCACCTCACCCCCAGTCAGCTGGGCCTTCTCAGCCGCGCGGGGCGGCCCCACGTGAGCCCTGATATCCAAAGCCGAGATCTGGCCAAGTGTCCTCAGGACATCCGTGGAGGCCCAGGGCGGGAGGGGGAGGCCGTGGGCTCGCTGCAGAGGCGGAGAGACAGGACGTCCCAGCCGCCCTTCTGCTGTTCCCCAGCACCCGAGCCCTCGGCTGGTTCCCGTCGGAAATCACAGCACTGAAGTAGTGACGGTTCATCAGCCACGCTCTGGATTTTAGAGCGGTCCGATGGCAAGGCCCTGGCGGTGGAGGCAGCCCACTGACCCTTCCCTCTGCTCTTCCCCTGGCAGCAGGAACCTCCCAAGGGGAGGTGAGCAGACAGAAGACTCCCTTCCTGCTGTGGTCTCTGCTTCCCGGTGCCTCTGATCGAGGGTGGGCCCAGGACACCTCACAACCCCGGGCCTCAGGAGGCTGTCTTTTTGTTGTTTTTTGTAGCGGGGATTGAACTCGGGACCTTCTGCTTGTGAGACAGGTGGCAGGCAGCACCACTGAGCCAAATTCCCAGCCCTAAGAGCACGTTTTAACCTTCACCACACCCCAGGTTCGGCCAGTACTATTGAGGGTGGGGAAACTGGCATGGGGCTGAGGAAACAGCCAGCAAGTAGCAGGGTGGGACTGGAACCCTTGAGGTGCCAGCTCACCTGGCAGATCAGTGTGTCCAGAACCTTCCAGGCCTTGCGGAGTGGCTCCCCCACCAGCGTCAGCCCCGTGAAGTTGCTCAGGCGGCTCAGGAAGCCCTGGGGCACAGACACAGTAAGCCCCAGCCCGAGGGTGCCCAGCCCGGCCAAGCCCCACGGCCCGCTCACCGTCCAGCCCTCCAGGGCCTCCTGGTACTCGGCTGCCTCCGTGGACTCCCGCAGCAGCTCCTGGTACCGGGGACAGCTGCGCATGGGGAACCTCAGCAGCTGGGGGGAACCGAGGCTCAGCCAGGACAGCAGCATGTGGGGCACCGGGTAGGGAGCTGGGGTTCTGGGGCCCTCATCTGTCCCAGACTCCCAGACTCCCCAGCCTGGCACTGCCTGGCCCTCTCTCTCCGTGGCCCGGCTCTCCTCCGTCGCTGTCCCTCTCCCACACCGGCCAGCCCCGGACCTTGTCCTCGGCCACGGGCACCGTGTGCACCGGGATGGGCCTCCAGTCGGTCTCGGAGCTCCTCGGGGACGCCTCGGGGAAGAGCCCGGCCAGGATGGCCTGCGCGCTCTCCAGCGTGCGGTCGAAGTCGGTGCTGCGGATGTACACCTGGGCAGGAGGGCGCGGGACAGGGGCACAGTGGGCAGGGTCACGGGCCGGGGGCAGGGTCCGTGAGAGGCTGGACCGAGAGGGTCAGCTGAGTCCATGAGGAGTAGGGGGGTGGAGGCGAGAGGTCACGGGCGGAGGGCGGCTGAAGGGAAGGGACCAAGTTCACTGGAGGATCTGAGCCCAGAGGTCAGGGCTGACGGAAGTAGGATGACAGAGGCAGAGGAGAGACCGGGGAGAAGGTCGGGAGTCAAGGGCTGAGGATGGGCGAGCAAGCGCGGGAGGATGGATGGCGGTCAGGGTCAGGGGTCTGGGGTCGGGCGCGGCCGCTCAGGGCAGGTCCTCAGCGGTCCCTCCTCCCGCCGGTACTCGGGGCTCAGGAAGGACT